GGGTGTATAAAATTGTATGATCTAAAATGTGTTAATACACGAAATAAAAAGCTTTTTACACGTGATGTGTAGAAAGTGCATTTTGTGGGGGACACGACAGTGATCCCTCGCTTCATTTATCGCGGCTTCAGTACATGGCGTTTTTTTTTTTTCCCCCATCGTACTGTATTCAGGAAAAAAATGCCAAATGACGCCGAGGTTTTGTACATGCCTGTACGCATGATTGGTTGCTGGCGCGACATTGGCTAATGACGGCACGAGTGGATTTCTCCCATGAGCTGATTGCCGGCCACATATTCAATCCAAAAGACATCTGGCCAGCTAAGGTTTAGGCTAACCTTTGGCCTTTCTGTTGTCCTTGAGCAGAATATTTTGACAACAAAAGCATATAATATCGCTGAACCTGAGGGAGTCAGTGGATCTAATTTAGCGGCCATAAAAAAGGAAATTAATGGACTACAAGCATCAGCGCACATAAAGAACTAATTTCATCTGAAAGTTCCATTAACGTGGGGCGGCGTGTTCTTGCAAAGAGGCTCTATAAAAATTGTGATTCGAGCAGCCAAATGCTAATGTGTCCCTCAATCAACTCTGCCCAGTTTTGCTGAGGCGTGTCATGCAAAGTAGAAATTCCTTGGCCTAAATCATCATATACGTCGCGTGACATCTTAGAATGCAGGCTACATCATTCACTTTTGTCCGTTCGATCCACTCGTGCGATTTGCGATGTTGGCTGTTGATCGTTGGCTGCACAGCATCTGATGCAACATTTGGCGACGCCCCTCAACTTAGCCAATCCTCCATTAGGCATCTCCAGTTGGTCCAGAACGCTGCCGCTCGTTTCTTCACTGGTACTCGTAGGAGGGAGTACATCCTTCCTACTCCGGCATCCCTTCACTGACTCCATTTTCGAGTTCTTTTGAAGCTCCTATTATTTGTTTCAAATGTTGACATGGCCTCGCCCCACCTCCGAGATCCTCCGCCCCTGCCCGCTACCTCACGTCTGCAGATCAGGCACTATTCGAGGTACCGAGAACGAAGCAGAGGCTCAGAGAGGATGGGGGCTTTTCCGTTGCCACCCCCTCTCTTTGGAAAGACCTCCCGCTGCCCATCTTGAAAACTCGTTTTCAAACTCATTTTTATTCTTTGGCTTTTGACTCAGGATGAGACTTGATTTTTAGTTGGACTGTTTTTGTACTTTCTACTGTCTTCCATATTAATTTAGTGTTTGTTGTATGAATTATTTTTGCCCCATGTACGGCACTTTGTATACAGCGGTGGTTGTTTTCAAGTGTTCTAGAAATACACTTGAGTTGAGTTAATCATAAATGGTTTATATGTATCTTGGAATGAAGCGGAAAGTTCAACAGTCCACCCTCCCTTGTGGCCCATATCAAATGTCATTGTTAGGGGTTTTGTTTTTTTTGTTTTTTTGTTTTTTTTTGGTCGTGCTGCTGAAAAATGAATGGCGGGCCGCAAATGGCCCCCCAGGCCGTATTTTTATTATTGTTTTGGACAACACTGGTCTAAAAAGATCTCCAAGTCTCACTGAGTCACAATTTCTAGTCCTCAGCAGCCATTTCAAAGAATTTGGCTTCACTTGTTATAATATCTTGGCGGGGAATAATTACCGTGAACAGAAGCGCCGCTTGTGATAAAAGACACATTTTCCATTGCGACAACCACAGTGGGAAATGCAAAAGCAGTCACAACAATCTTTTTCAGTCCCCTCTCTGCCTGAAACAGTTTTGTTAGCTTCTCTGGACACACAAGTCGTGCAGCACATTTTGCATTGATGTTTCGAGGCGCACCAGTCTTGGTTGCAATCTTGAAACAAAATGCAGAATGCTGCACGTCGCAGCCATCGGAGTACAGCGAACGCTCTCTCTTTCTCTCTCAATCGGTCTCTGACGCCTGTTATTTCTACTTTAACATCTGTCCTGACTTGCGGGCGCTTCCTCATTATTCCGATCTTGGTATCTGCCATGGTTAATGAGTGGAGGGACTCCGGTGGCGGAGTTTGAGCGTTTGGATTAATGCCGGTGCTGCAACCGGCAAGTTTGAGGATTCAGTTCATGAAATTGCGAGGCTGCGAGTTGGCGAGGCTAATGATGCTCTCTTCAAAACACCGGAGACTGCCAGCCGCTGCACCTGAGCACGTTCGTCAAAATTGCGGAGATGTCAATACTGACAAGTCCACTGCCTCACAACCAACAGATGGTTTTTGTCTAGGTTTTAACGACAGGAAGTATTACTGAGCCTACTGAGAGTAATACGACCAGCTTTTAAGAGCACAATGATGGGAATATGGTCGAGGCAACATCATTTCATTTTTTTCTGCTTTATTTACAGGGCTGTCGGCCAGTGTAGGCTGGCCGTAAAAAAGTGACACCACTGTTCAAAACATTTGTCAGTTAGCACGCTGTGTGGCTACATCTCCAAACCATTATGCCTCCTAACATGAACGGAAAACAGAAAAATAAAGTGCATGCAAGATTTGGTGAAAGGGAAAGTCGAGACCTGACGCGGAGGCATGTCGCAAGTGCAGAAACGATCGCAGGTAACGTGTAGCGTTTTAAAATGCTTCTCCTGGCGCTCCAGATTGCCAATTTTTGCCAGCGCCATCGATGAATTGCACATCAAACTTTGATGAGAATAATGATAAGAGATATGGTGATTGCAGACTTTTTTTTTTTTAATACTTTTTTTTGGGGTGAAAATGAAAGTGATCAGATGCTTTGGGTGCCGTGTGCACCAACAGGGGTTGGGCACCCCTGCTGTGTTAAAAAAAAAAAAAAGTGTGTGCATAATATAATGAAATGGAAAGCTTGATCCCCCCCCCTTCCCCCCAACCCCTCATTCCATTTCCTTCTGTACCTGGATCTCTACCAATGACGCCCCTCACAGCTTCCTCCACCCTCTTCTCTCCCTTTAGCTCTATTGCTCTTGCTTTTTGTGCTGAAGGAACTTGACAGGCAGCGACTGGACTGTCTGCTTGCCTGAGTGATTAAAGCGAGCTTGGGGCCGACAGTCTCGCCATCCCCGATAGCGGCGTGGAAGTATAGTTCTGTTGAGTGAGGCCGAGCGGACAAAAGAGGGTCGCTTGGTTAGAAAGGAGAGATCCGCAGGCAGATATGATAGAGATGAGAGCAAACACACTCAACGAGGCGGCGATGCTCATTTGGTAGAAAAACTTGAGACGAGGGAATCAGATCAGGCGTGAGCCGCTGATTGCTTTTTTGTTACAGGAGCCGCGTTCGGAATGAGTTACGCTTCTCTGCCTCCGAAATCTCTCAATCACACCCGAACGCAACTTCTGCCTCGAACTAGTTTGGACTTTTTCAAGTTTTTCCCTTTTTAGTTGAAAATGGCTTCCCTTAACGCGCATTGTGGCCAAAGGGAGAGCCACAGTTGGTTATCACATCGGCCTCTTGGCCCTGGAAATCCTTGCTGCGGCGCCGTGGGTCCGAATGCTGGTTGCCATGACAACTACTTCTTTCTTTGCCTTGAGTCAAAGAGTTTTTCTCTCCACCAAGCGACGTTGTAACCGTTATCCGCATTTCAGACCGTACAGATATGTCGATGCGGCTCGTCCTTTCTGTGTCCATTTCATTTGAATGAAGGAGCGTACAGGCCGCATTTCATTCAAATGATTGTAACGTCTTCCCACCATTGGAATCACTCCGGGGCCGAAGGTCCTACATAACATTGTAAATATAATACGCAAGCCAAAAGCAAAAGGTCAATTGTATGTGGCATAGAATCTGAGCCTCGCCGTCACAAATCATATTTTTTGGGCTATCAGTGGTGAAAGGCACTTGAGGTAATCTGAAAATGACTGAGTTCCATGCAGTTGCAGGTCCTCATAGAAGTCATTAATTGCTGACATTTTGCCAGAGCTCCTGGAAGGAGATCATCAATGACAGAAAAAAAAATGAAACTGTCTGTCTGTCGGTTATGTTTAGCATCTTATGAAGACGGGACTAAAAACCAAGTCATTCATTTCTGCGATTGATCTTTCCTATTTGATCAAGGGCATCCACTTGATGGCTGCTGCAAATCACAGGCGCTCCACCTCAGCATCTGACCATTAACAAATATCAAAGGCACCGTTTTGGATTCCAGACGACTGGGAGGGACACTTCTTACAATCAAACATTCCGCTCATGTGAAATTGGTTGAAGAAATATTTGAAACGATGACGCTTGCTTCTCTACGATGCGGTCCTGCAAAAGCAGGGAAAAAAAAGATCCATAGCCAGTGATGGGCATCGGGCTAACGAGAGGGATGAGCCTTCTTTTTTTTTGTTGTTGTTGTTGTTGTTCAGTGGTGGTCCGGAAAGTGTTCACGAAAACTGGCGTCACAGAATGTCATCAGCAGCAATCAAGACAGACGAGAGTCACAGAGAAAGGCTGAGGTGGATATTGGTAGAAGGAATAGCCCAACTTTACTACTCTTTCACGTCATATATTTGAAACCTACCGGGAAGGCTAATGAAGGTACTTCTCTAAAACAAACTGGAAATTTGTCAACCAAAATCGTTTTTGTACATGGAGGCCAAAATTACAGCAAGCGAAGTGGCCCTCCAGCAGCTGCGAGGCTCACCCAGTGACAGCCGTGAACGATGACACCGGCGGCGGCATATTTCTTCCAGACAT